ACCCTTTCGTTTGTTAGTTTCTTTTGAATTTTTTTTTCTGCTTGACAGTATTTGCTTGTTGTTGGCTTCTGTTAGGGCTGTGAACTTCTTCATTTGTGAGGAGTGTCAACTTTCTTTCTGCTTTCGGAGTAAGTTGGCAACTGAAGTAGTTCTAAATCAGACCATTCACCAAAGCACACTGTTCAAGTTAATTATGGATAGATTAAATTTGAGGATTAGTCCTTCGTCGGAGCAAATAATGATGAAGTTTGCAAACAGTTTACCAGTTGATCTAAAGCATTAAAAGGCCTTAAAGAACTTTTAAACTTCTTGGAAAGTTTATATCCCTGCTAAGTGAATTAGTTTTAACTGGACCTCGACACTCTTATAAGGCACAACCTTAAACGTATAACTCATGTGTAGAAATGACATTGAAATAATTTTAATCCTTATGGTGACGACTTATGTAGTAATTTACTATAATAATATCGACATCTTTATGCAAAAGTTATTGTAAAGGTTAGTGACGTAACGGAAGGCAAAATAATTTACCGATTAGCCGTCCCCTGAAATCATCCTATCTAGCGCTGTGAGAATTCGCATGTCTGGAGGCAACGAAGAGAATTTGAAAGTTCGCCACGGAGTTTACTGAGGAGTACAATAAGGTCTCCAAAACCATGACTCGAATAAAGAATCACCATAGATGAATAATATGAAGCTCAAAATAGAAGGCCAAACAACGTCGACAGAAAACCTCAACGCAAAGTTACAAAACTCAAATCAAAATTCTCGCTTATCCTGGGTTAGCTTACTAATCGGGCTTTGAACAACCCGGCCCAGGAGCTTCGCTTTTAGCCTTGGCTTAACAAAGATACCGAAAATGGAATCCATTTGTTTTTTAGTATCACCCAACTAGTGGACTAATGCAAATCCTGCATTTTGATTGGCTACGCTACCAGGGGACTATTAGTAATAGTCATCGAGTAGCGAAGTTGGCGCCATCGAGCGTGACGCTTTCTTTCGTTTTATTCCCAAATAAATATTTCTTCAACTTGCATTTGCTAACTTTATTATTACCTTTTCTGTCCGACTAGTTGGGTGATACTAAAACAATTAGACCCTTCGCCCTCAAGGGCCACGGGTCAATAGTCCTATCGACCCGTAGCCCGCAAGGGCTACGGGTCTAATTGTTAAAAATAATTAAGAAACAAACTCTTCTAAAAAGCGCGTCTATTTCGAAATCTTTCAACCTAACTCAAAAGGCGGGCCCCTACCCACTGTGCATGTGACAAACACGAAAATATCAATTTGACGTAATCTATTGTCTCAGTATACAAAATGAGGCGATTGGTTGCTATGCGCAGCAAATAATTGTGATTGCTTCAGGGAAATCACGCCACTGTCAAGCTTGAAACAGGGAGTGACAGGGCGGGGAAAAAAAAACGCCCCGCTTAGAATCGAGTGTCGCTTGTCGTGGATAAGGAAAACCTACAGCGAAAGCAAGGCGAAAGTAGTATTAAACTGCGAAATCTACAAATCTTAGATAAAATGCTGGAAAAGTCAAGTCAGTTTTTGTCATCAGAGAACTCCTGTGAGGCGCCAAAACCTGGGCGTCGCCATGAACATTGCAAGAGTTGAAAAAGTCGCTCGGAAAACATGCGGTTGCAGTCAACATCGACAGGTTGGAGGCCATTCGATTCGAGCTTCGAATGAAAGGAGCGTTGGTGAGGTGGTAATTCTCAAGTGCATTTAAGATACAGACGGCCATGAGCTGTAGGGAGCTAGACTTTGCTCGCTGCTGTACCCTGAAACGAAGTGGAACATTCGCGTCGGAAAGAGAGGGTAAGCTTATATGGTTATTTTAAGAAGGGTGTTGTGATGTTTCTTTCCTGACATTAATCTGTGTAAACAAATATTTTGAGACTGAGAAAATTTGATTTTTTAAAATAAATTAATCTCATAAACATTTTTCTTATTGGGTTTGTTAAATTCGAAGCAAAGCCATGGTTTCTTGCCTTGAAATTATTTCAAGACCCATTTTGTGTTTCAGCTGACTGCTCGAGTATTTTTTCCGAGTAAAGGTGTTTCATTTTCTTTTTCCTACTTCTCGTCCCTGTTTACAGCCTCGACAAGACTTTTTTTGTAACTTATCTTTCGTCCACTCACGTAAAATGGTATCTAAATTTTCAAAACTTTCCGCCGAACAGGGGAAAATGTTTGTACTTTTGACGACTTGATGTCATCTATGCGTCTGTCCACTAATAGATCATAGGTGAGAAGCAATCAAAATGCGAGATCTATTTATTATTATTTTTATGTTTACCAGCTGATAGCATTCAGTTGTACGAAAGTTCTAAAGTTCACCATTGCTTTAGTAAATTTCCAATAGCTCTTGAGGCCTAGTGGTTAGGGAAGTGGAATTGTAATCCAGAGTCCTGGGTTCCAATCCTCCTCCTTGTAACTAATGTTCTGTAAATAGCCATCTGGTCAGCCCCGCAAGGTGGGATTCTTAACAATGTTATTTTGTTTTAAATTGGCTTCATTGACATGACCCTAAAGCTTCTTGCTAACATAATCAAGTATAGCAAAGTTACTTTACTTAACCGCTGAATCAAAAATTCATGTACAGACAAACGAAAAAATGAAATCGCCACATATTGCCATAGTTAACTACAAAAGGTACGTAGTCTGGCATTCATTGAAATGGATGTAGGAGAAATGAATATGGTCAGACATCTCATTGTAAAGCTCACTCTGTGAGTAGGCAAAATGAACCAATCCTACACTGTGATTGGCTACGTGAGTGGGCAAAATAGCACTATCTTTCCCACTCGGGATTACCCGCTGTGTCCCGCAAGAAAATGGTGTTGTTTTTCCATATAATAAATCCTTTATTGATCAGGCTTCTTTCGTCAAGACGGCTGGATATTGGCCTAGTTCTTTTTTTACGTGTTTAAGGTACTCGACTCCATCTTGGTCCATAAACACCTACAAAAAGAACTTGGCTAATATCCAGCCATATTGACCTTACGCTTGGTCATTAACTCATATATATGGACAGAAACAAAATGCAGTATATTCACAACAAAGTAATAAAATTTACAAAATTAGTATGTTGTCGATGGACCATCCAAGCTCATAAGAAATCTGGTTTGCACAAAAATGTACTGAATGAGTGGTATTTAAACTTTTAAGTTCAAATTTGTAATGAAGCTGAATAGCTTTTTAACTGAGATTCATCCTTCTAAGTGTAAATACTGAATTCCTCTCAACCTACTCCTAGTCTTATGCATTCATAGACTCCTCCAACTAATTTCATAAGGTACATATATGCTTCTCTTAGCATATCTATAATATCTATATCATTTCTTTATATAAAATAGGCTTAACAATAGTATTGAAAGTCTGCTGACTACAATGGCTACTGGTACTTGACATTCCATTGTTAAAACAGTGGAAAACGTTGTACAAGTAGCGCTTACCATACCAGACTAAATATAGCTTACATAGATGGTGGGATTTCATTATCAAGTGCTTTATTTCAGAGGTTCATGGCTCATGGCTTACTCCTGCTCTTCCTTAGGTTAACTTTTCTACTTTCTCTGTGTGCATCAAAGTTTTTTCCAGCCACATTTTGCAAAGTAAGAGAAAAACATCCAGTGATTCCCACCCGAGGGGCACTCCCTAATATGAGCTATATAGGTATGTGCGACCCCAAAGGGTATGGTTTTTCAGCCATTTTGGTCATAAATAGGGTATCAGTTTTGGCCATTTTATCCATAAATAGGGTATGGTTTTTGTACCCTAGTCTTGAATTGGGTATATTTTTAAGAAGTTGCTACATGTACTTTTCCATTATTATCGATGAGACCATCAACAAAGCTCTTTGCAAATCATGTTCACAGCAATTTAACATTGGTTTGAACTAGGGAGGTAATTATAAGGCAGGTCTGAAACAGGGTATTGATTTAAGGGTCACGTCATAAATAGGGTATTGAATTTTTGGTTAGGTCATAAATAGGGTAGCGAAAATCGCAGATTTTGGTAACAAATAGGGTAAGGGTTTTGGGAAGCGGGCAGCACACACCCACCTAATTTTACTGGGACAAGTACAGAGTACCCACCCTGGGGATTTCCCAAGGTTTCTAATAAGAGAGACAAGATTGATGCATTGCCACATGGTCACCGTTTTCAGCCAGTCCAAAATTCCTGTTCACTGGCAAACAGGTAGTTCCAAAAACCTCAAAACTGACCAATTTTGATTCATTAAAATCGTAACGTGGCACCAAGGCATAGGGAAATAAAACAAAAAAAATTATGTCAAGATTGAGAAATGAGTAAATATTTGCTTTTGTTTTACTCCCCAAACCTTGCCAAGCCAAGACAGGATTTCAACTTGACTACTCCCTGTCCCCTGGCACCTTTTCTGTCACTAAAACAAAACACTTGCGCATGACATACCGCTGGCTACGCATCTTAGACTAAAGTAAAAGCTATAAAAATACAATAAGTAACTGTGTAACTTCAAGGCTCAATGATCACTTTTAAAGATGAGCTTCTCCAGTTGCATCATGGGGAATTCTACACACACAGACACAATGAAGGCTGCAGCATATGAAATAACAACCACGCCCACAAAGCAAAATGCCTGCAAAGATAGAAAATATAAAAGCACAAAACAAACAGTTAGAGGTTATGTCTAGCACAAGAAAGGTACAAATAATACAACATTACAGATAGCAGTCCTGACGATCCATTACATGCAAAATACTGCAGGATCATTGAAGTAATGTTAGAGAGTCATTACTGTAAATCCTTGAATTAGCGCTCCACCTCAAATAAGCACCCCCTTCGAATGAGCACTCCTTCTATCGGCCAAATTTAAAAATAGGCGCCCCCCTCGAATAAGCACCCCTGTCCCCTCCCCCCCATTTTGTGGATGAGTAATGAGACAAAAAAGGATGTATAGTTTTCGTCATGTAGTATTAGATTTATACATTGTTTCAGTTTGTGAACATGTTTAGTGAACTCATTGAACACTAACGGTGCTGCGATTTAAACTTTAGGATCAGCTTTTTATGTCAATAAACAGCTTATGTTGGTGTTAACAAGCAGGTGATGTTTTAAAAAATGATCATGTCAGGCCACGATTGGGGAAAAATTAAATAAGTGCCCCCCTTGAAGAGACACCCCCCTCAAATAAGTGCCCCCTGTCTTCTACTACATTTGAAAGGATTTATGGTACTTTATCTTTAGTTTTAGAGCAGTTGCCATTTGAGTGTCAAAACTTTATTTTTTCAACAAATGCTTTTTTCTTTTTCATCCAATCAGAAGTAAAACCAAAACCAACCATCAGCCATTCACAAACATTTTCCCCTGCCTCAGGTTAGCTACATGTAAATGTCATTACTTCGACTTTTGATTGGTTTACTGTATTGTCTGTGTCCTTTGTGATTGGCTGGAGTAATTTCTTTGGTTTAGGTTTACGACAATTGATAGCAGCTTGTCAAACTGCAACTTTCTAGTAATAATGCTTATGACAGGCTGCTACTTCTGAGAAACAAAACTACTGCAACACACCAAGTATTCCTATGGTTTAACAAGAGAAACACTAAAGATGTTTTGAGAATCACTTCTCTTTGGCTCTAAATGCACTGTCTACTGATAAAATATCTGGTCATGGTTTGGTAAGCTTTTGTATAGTGAATTTGAAATCCAATTTTATAAAAATTTAAGCTATACAGAAAAGTGAGCAAAGAACAGAAGGAAATTTACTTACAACATGGACATCAGAATAGGCTCGTACAGTTTCAAATGAGCCAAGCAATGTTATTAGTGCAATAGGATGAACAAGATAAGCACAGTATGTCAGCCGGCTCAATGGAATCCAGAAATGAGCAGACAGAATCTTGTTCACCAAACCTTGAAAACAGAAAAAAAATAATGCAAAAGTGAACATTTTCAGCTATAAAAATCATTATTGGCAGTTCCAGCACTGAAAAGAAAGTTATGTAAATGATTCCAGTTAGAAGGTGAAATGATGTCTTTAGTTCAAATGTGATGCATTTCTTTCCATGTTATCCAGTCAATGATAATTTTTCCTTTTTTATGTCCTTTTTGAATCAGCATTGGCCATTGGCAGAACAGGCCATCCATAATATGGAGCATTAACATTGACCATCACAACAGAAAGTGGCACATGTCTATTTCTCAACATGGACAGTGATGGATTTGTTTAATAGATTGGTACTAGCACTCTACATCACTTGATGTTTACATAATAGTATAAAAGGAATGTCCAGTCACCAGTGAATAACATCACCAGGTTAATCTTCTTGACAAAAAAGTTTACCAGGATCTGCTAGGGGAAAATCTGTTGCACTTACCTCCAAGCCCACGCTGACAAGCAAAAATCACCCAAGCCAGTGCTAAGCTCCATGCAAAACGTGAAAAAGTTCCGTATATAATATTCTCAACATGAGAGAATGGTTGAGGATTGTCTTTTCTTAAAACTTTATACTGACCATACAGTGTGGACAGGGCAAGAATGATAGCAACACACCAGCCAGCCATATTGAATAAATAGGTGTGAACCTTACAAGAGGAAAACAACAAATTAGCTGGATTCACAGTGATTATCAACCGTGACAAACAAAAATATAAATAAAGTAAAAAAGCTTCCAGCCTACAGCATTGTAACTTATCATGTTAAGATTATTTCTTGTCATGGTGAAGAGCATAAAAAGGCGACCTCTATGTAATAAGATTATAATACCTTGGTGGGTAGCCTCCAATCCTTTGCATGAAGCAGTAAGTAGCCCAATACCATACCAACAAGGTATGGAGCAATACGACAATAAGGCTTTTCATAAGTGAGAGACTGAGAATCAATACCAGCAGCCCTGCAACAAAATAACACCATACAAGTGTCTTCATAATTAGCAGGGGGGTTGGCAACTTTTCCAATTTGGCCAACATGGAATTAACAGCCTTGGTAGCATAATATAGTATTTGCTGCTCCACGCGACAATAACAATAATAATAAAATAATATTTCTTTATACAGGGTAAGTTAAAAGCAACACAGCTGATGAGATCATATCATATACGACCTACAATCTTAGACAGCGGCAGATGAAACACTAGTGGAAAAAAGTCATGAGTACAGCTAGACAGTTCCCACAAAATATTTGTCAGTGCTTTGTAAACCTTTTTCAGGCCTGGGCACCTCCAGTCCATTCAGTGTGAATTAGGACTGTTTCTGCAATATGTGATGGAGTTCAAGATTGCATTGGGCAGGGCAGCTAAAAGACAACAAAATGTAACTGTACCAACACTTTTGGCAAGGGGTGTATAAGCCATTTTTAGTTGACCTCCACAATCATTTAGAATCATAGAAACATTGTGATGTTTACTCCAATTTCCAGTACAACCAAAGTGGCACATGTCTGATTAAGTGTCTGTCCTTCTCACTCTAATCAGAACGCAAACCAAAAAGAAGTACAGCTTTACTATATCAGCATGAGGGTAATGTGACATGCCCATGACATGCCTGTGAGACATACAAGATTACAACTAAGGCAAATCAAAAGATGCTCACTTTTCAGCTTGAGCTGCAGGGCTGAGCTGAACAACTGCAAGGTCATAATGAGCAAAAAGGATTGCTGTTGTAATAAAACTGATACTCATCAACACACCAACAATAACAAGCAGTCCTCGCAGGCGAAACCTAGAAACAGACAAAAAATAAATCAATAGTATATAAATAAAATAAACTTATTTTTTATTCCACTATTATGCCATTTTACCATGTTAGGTCAAGAGAAATTCAAAATATGAGCCTCTATTGCACTGTAGAGTCCTGGTTTGACCAGGTTACAACAAAGAAAACACAGACAGAAACAGCAGAACAACAGAATGGCCAAACTGAGCAACCCAAACTTTGACTTGTTTGAACTTGACTTTCATTTCATCTATTTCTTTTAATCTGTAATTGAGCTGGAGAGTGCTGTGTTACAGAGGTCACTCCCTCAATTTAACCATTAATATTAACATTTCATTTTCTTTAAATTTATTTTATTGTTATACACACACACATTTCTACCCCCACATACACAACATCCCTATTTCCCCACTGATTTCTTATCAGTGGAGTGGGAACCCTATTTTAGGGATTCCATTTTCAACAGCTATAATGCCACAAAGGCTGCTAGTTTTACTACTGATAAATAAATATATAAAATGAACTGAGCAACCCAAACTTTGACTTATTTGAACTTGACTTTCTAAGTAACCCCCTTTTATGTTTAGGGGCCAATTAAATGGTCCTCAAGAGCTATTGCAAAGGAAAACTTTGTTTCATCCATTCAAAGTTATTTCACATGTTTGAACTTTTTCATGATTAGTAACAGTAATGATGACATCATTGGACCACACCCATGGTCATGTGACTAATTCCAAAATAACCTAAAGGCTCCTCAGCTTACTGCTTAATTGAAATTTTTGATGGCTTTTCAAAAATAGCTGGATTTAATGAAAAGCTGCATTTCCTTTACGATTTAAGGAGGCTGGCAACAGTCTCCAGCAGTTTCCTAACAGCTATACTTTGAAAGTGGGAGGTGCGGTGGCCTCATAGTTAGTGCGCCTATCTCCAGATCAAGCAGTGACGTTCTTGGGCAAGACACGTTACTCTCACAGTGCCTCTCTCCATCCAGGTGTATAAATGGGTACCGGCGAGCTTAACGCTGGGGGTAACCTTGCAATGGACTAGCATCCCACCAGGAGGGAGTAGAAATACTCCTAGTTGCTTCAAGCAACAGAAACCGGGATAAGCTCTGGCCTGATGGGCCACTTGGCTTGTATGCAGACTTAACCTTTTCTATACTTTGAAAGATGAATACTACCACTGTTTAACAAGTGAAGCTACAATAATGGTATCATACAAATTCCCAATCATTGTTAAACAAGTTGTGGTCATCCTTTTTATATAACAGGTTACCATAGCAACAATATGACATGCTAAACACACCCTTAATTTTAATAACTCAAAAACCAGCTCAGTGACCCCCATTTTTTATTGTCTAATTGTAATCAGCATGATAAGATGCAACTTTTTGCAGAGTTTAAAAAATTATGTGAATGGGGTTCAGAGCCACCTTAAATTTTCGAAAGTACTGGGAACTGTTTCAAGCCACCTTAAGGAAACTGGAAGTGTCTCCGATATCTACTGTAAGTTAAGATCAAACCAAGCACACAAAAGCGGCACAAAGATTGCGTTTTTTTCCTCTGGCAACTGTTTTCTGTCTTTCTTTTATTTTGTTTTTGCTTTAATTGTTTTGTTTCAGCCGGTAGTCCTAGGGAGATAAGTGAGGTTGTTTGTCTCCCTATAATCAGAAGTTGCATGGGCTAACCAACTGCAAAGCAGTGTTCTCCAATTAGTGCCAACAAGAGTTGTTTGTACATGTATTTGATTAATAGTTGTTCAAATTACAAGTCAGCACGGTTGACTTGCTTTCATTAGGAACAACGACATTAGATGCATATTGTGTTAAACCATCAAACAAAAGATGTATGTGGCATATAGTTTACAGAATTTGACACGAATGTGTGTTGTTATCTTTTATCGATTATTGTCATTTTGTTAAATGATTTCTTACTTGAGTGTTGGGAAGCCTGTGCCTCCCATAAGATACAGCGGCCTTAGAGCGCACACATGGGAAACAGTTGCCATGTTTGTTGTAGATGTTACCATTGTGCTGCGGATTTCCAAAAGCTCCTACATAATGTACGTTCTTTAGCCGGAAAGGAAAGACAATTCAGTGTTTGTAATTCAGTTATCTTTGCCAATTGCTCGTCTAATCTTTCTATTTAGCGAATTGCGTACAAAGTTCAGAAGTGTATGTGGATCTAACTTGATCTCAATTGTTGGAGTTTGTGAGTAAATTATGTTTTTGCAACTACAATGTGTGTTGTCAGAGTTTTTAAAACTGAATTAACTTTGACTGGTCTTGAAACTGCACAAAAAGATTTCCTTCTTCTTTATTTGATAGTTGAATCTATTCTCTGCATATGTTAAGGAATTCACACTTTCATCTCATACCTGTAAGCAGTCAAGAGGATGGCCGGAGAAATGATGTAAAACTGCATGTCATTAGCTAGGTACCAGCCCCATAACATGCACTGTAGAAAAAAAGGAAAAGCAATAACCTGTGTTTTCATGGATTTTAAACCAATATTTTCCAACTATTTAAACATAAATGCTCATCCATTTTGTAAAACTGCTCAGAACTGTGAATAACATTATTAAGAAACCTTAGCTTACCAAGAATCCCATTCAGTTTTAATTTGATTCAGTTGAAAATAAATAAAACATGTATTAATGGCAGAAAAACAACATGTACTTCTAACCCCCAAGCATCCTTTTTTGGTTGGATTTGCTCTTTATTTCTTGAATACTCTTAATTTCCAAGGGTATAAATAAGGTAAATTAACCAATCTAGCAAACTTGGAAAGATGTTATGTTTACTTAGCAGTTAATTGAAAAGCAGCAATAATGAAATGACTATTTTAGATCAAAAGGAAATGTGCAACCTCACAAACATCATAAGAAAGTTAAATAATAATATTGAAGAATGCAAAGTTTATCAACAAGTCTTACCGAGTTATTCATTGTGGTAGGATAAAAATTGTTGATGTATAACAGATTAGTCCACCAGTATTTGTCACAAGGATTTTCTGCTTGCATTCCATACCAAAGGGGACCTTCACCAAGAAATGGCGTCATTTTATCAAAAAACAGTAAAACAAACATGTACGCTGGAGTTAACCTGTGAAAAGGTAAAAGAACTGATTATTGATGACATTCGTAGATGTAATCATCTAGCCTGTGAGAAAAAGATTCCCTTCTCTTTCCGAAGGGAATCTCTGTCTTGCAGGGAAGCACTCACCAGGAGGTATGTTCTTAAATCTTCGAAGTTTACTATTGGATCCTTTGAATGTTTTAACTGGACTTTAAATCTACTTGGTGAAATTTTCCATTGTTCAGTTATTCATTTCTATTTGGTGCAAAGAAAAAAAACATTAGAATGGAACGCTGAGCTCAGTGCTCCCTTAACATCATGACACCAAAACATGGCTGAAAAGAAACTTGATTGAATTTTGCTGAAACTGACAAAAAAATTGGTTTTATCAACTTAAAGAACATACATCAAAATGAGAAACTATTGTATCATCAAACATGCTAGACATGACCATGGCAACCAAATCTGACATCATATAACTTAATGTGCTTTGTCAGCATCACTGATGAGCTACATAGCATGTGGCAAAAGATCGAAAGGAGGAGACTTCAAACAGGACAAAAACACAGCATGTGATGCACACTCGGTGGATTATAAATGTATCTGCTCTAGTAAGTACAAAACAACAATAAACAGCAGGATATTTAAGTAACATTTGTTAGCAGTTAAGTATTCATTCAACAACAATTACAAATGTAACTAGTAGTCACATTGTGTTAAGTTTCTAATCTGTTTTTCATTGCAGTCAATTACTGCCAATCTTATTGATGGAAGATGAGAAAGCCCCATTTTTTTAAGGGAAACACAGCAGCAATAGACTGCGAGCAGTGTCCTTTTTGCTTGAATATCTGCACTGAAGGGAATAACACAAAAAACTGATTGAATGAAGAGATCTGAGCAGTAAAGGTGCAAGCCATCTGAGTAACATAGAAGTCAAAAGTTTGTTCACTTAGTCGTTTGTGTTCCTCCCCACTGATTTTTGAGCAAAAGAGAGAGTGATTGCTGTCTATGTAAACCTACCTCCAAAACCGATGAAAATAGTAACTGAAAAGTGGTAGCTGTCCACTTTTCTTCTCCATATAACGAAGTGACAAATAAGCAACTAGGAGGCCGCTGTAAAGAATGCAATAAGAAACATAAGTTCAAAGCAAGAAAATTATACCAATACTTAATGGACCAGTTTTTTAAGGGAGCATTAGGAAAAAGTATTATGACAAAGTTTAGGGCAAATGTAAGAACCTTAGCTTTGTGTAATATTTTTCTAAATTACTAGTCTATTTCTCTCCTTTAATATGCTGTCCTCACAACCCTACTGGAAACTCTGTAAATTACCAAGTACTAATCTAGAAGATCAAACATTGTCCTGTCATTTACGTATCAAACTCATACAGAAATAGATGGTCACGCATGCATAATGCATGCACCTTTAAAGTGTCATAATTTTATCTGTAGAAAGTTTTAAGTTTAATATGAGCACTTACCTTAAGAAAAAGAAACTGTCAACTGAAAAGGTTGCATTGCCAACAGCTTGAAATGTGAAACGTTGAATAATTGTAAGAGTCAGAAGAAGGTTACCTGCAAACCAAGTACAGAAGCTAATAAACTCTTCCATCTACTTTAAGATGTGAATAAAGCCACCCTGGTGATAATTGCAATGCTGAGATTAACAGGCCTGTCAGCAATGTAAGTAAATACTTACTTAAAGGTGTTGCCTGTTGGAAAGCGTATGTATGTCCCAGGATGACCCACCACATGCTCAGCACTCTCATGCCATTGATTGCAGTAATGGCATTTGCAGGAACATTTGTATTCATAATACGACTTGTGTTTTGAATCAAAGAGAAACACAAAAATAATCGTACCACCACATCTGCATGGAAATATAACAAATCAGGTTTATTATTATCATAGGTAAGACATTCTTTTTTGTCTCATATAAAGGTTGCTATATGTAATTATATGTAATTACACTTACTTCCGTTTCCAATATGGACATTTTAAACTTACTTGGTCCTGCTGGTTCATGTTGATAGCTTGATAAAGTTGTACTTGTACTTCCACTTAAATTCACCTCAGGGGAGGGGTGAAGATTTGTTCTGTCACTGTCAAGATTACTCTTTGCAAATGGACTTTGACCTCTAGGTGCCTGATTGTAATCTGTAGCTATGGAACCATCTCTGATTGGCATAAATCCATCACTTTTGTTGACAGGTGAGGAGTGTGACTTTGCAAAGCTTACAACAATGTCCACAATCGTCCCAACAAGGCAGAGGAATAGAATTAAACCACATAAAACCCTGTGATATGATTATTAAATGTTAAGAGGTTGCCTAGTTTCCAACCAATTAAGTCCTGGTAATGAGTTGTTTAACTTCCCCTTTTTCTCTTTTCATCCCTCTCTCATCATTCACATTATATTGTCGGAGGGGTCAGCAGTCAGTAAATAAAGCACTTTAAGGTTCCACAGCTTGAAAATTACCAACAGTTTTGACTGCATGTCTAGCCCTTCCTTCCCCTCACCCTAGCTGCTACCATTCCCTTTCCTTACAACTTCTACCCCTGCCCTCTTCTCTCTCTTTTTATGCTCTCATTGGTAAGACAGGTGATCAGTAATATTTGCAGATTCACCCATCCTTTCATTTTTTTCTCCTAATCTCAGGGGATTCTGAGCAGATCAGGTCTAGATCCCAGTACTGTATTTGCATGGGTTACAACACCCCTTTGATTAAACACTTATTTATAAGTCAAAGGTATTTTTGTTATGACTCATTCCAACACAGGTGCTTTACAGTGTACTCTCTTCTCAAACTCAAGACTAACTTGAACTAGGTACACTGAGAAATAAAAAGTGATCTTAACTAGTGCCCAGTGTGTTTAGTTTAGTTTAAATGTAGTTTTGAGTTAATAAAGAGTTAATAAAGAGAAAGGGGCTTACCAAATTTCTTCACCCAAGAGGGGAGAGGGGGTGTTTGAGAGGAAATGCTCAATAAAGAGTTTGCCACTTTACAAGTATCACAGATCTGTCGTAGCTGTAACATATAATTCAGTAACTTACACAATGTAAATAAATTGTACTCACAATGTGATTATTACTCCTGTTGTGTATTCTGGTTTCTTGTCACAGAAAACAGGTTTCAAATTCTTGGTTCCACCTTCAGGTGAAAAGCCATTGGCTGGCTGTGGACTTAGCACTGCTATTGTTGAGTTACCTGTATTTAATTCTGAACAAGATACACATTCAGCAGGTTAGGCCTGAAGTACAGTATGTAAGACCACAAAAAAGGTTAGATAATGAGTGAGCCACAGCCTCTGTTTTGACCCGAGGGCACTGGACTGTAAGCTGGTGTTTCTTTTAATGCCTTTCCGTTCGTCTAACTGTAGTCTCATGAATATTTTTATTTTGTATTTATAAGGTTAAAGGTATAAACCAATCCAATTGCAATGGTGGCAACTAAATCATGTACAAAATCACAAAAAATTAGCATTACCATTTTAGTAGAGTATAACAATGTAAAATTGAATAATACAGTATGGCAAACTGGGCTAAGATGAAAAGGAGACCTCTGACTTCCTAAGCAGTCCAAATTTTGCAATGCAGACTGCTAAGGTGGACAGCTCTTGCATTAGTTTCAGCAAATTGCTTTTTCAAAACACTGTACAAAATAGAGAAAGCGGTTTGTTGTTATTAACTAAAGTGTTTGGCTGACAATTTGAACTTTCTTGAGGACAATGTGAAAGCACAAAAAAAATCACAAGAACATAACAACTTGCCAGAAGAAGTTCAAAAGATAACAAGTACTTAATCATTGGACTAGCTTGTTCAGCCTGTATATTTGGGGAATATTGGTCAATTTCTTTTTTTGCAAGTTTAAGGACCTTGCCAATAGCATGGTCCATAAACTTACAAAAAAAGAACTTGACCAACATTTCCCTAATATGGTCCTCATGTTAGTACATTGACATATTTACTTTACTACCACTGTTTTTTCATTAATCATGTTAATTTTGTAACCTCTGATGAGGTGACTTTCTCCCTGCTCTCATTTACCTAGATTGACACACATCTCTCAGTCGTACTGAAACAATTTAACAGCTACAAAACATAATAATACAGCACCTGAGAAGATATCTTGTAGAGCATTAGTTACATCCTCTTCACTACACTGTTTAGGTGCACAGATCCCCCAACGAATAGGCAATAACTGGATAGTGAAGGAAAGCAAAGCTGATAAAAAGGTAAGACCCAGCATTTATATTTCCTTAGTTTATCTCTATCATTTAACATAATTAACCCTTAAACCAAGATACAAGAGAGTTTATAAGTTGTGAGCTACACTGTATTAGCGATTTCAATGTTGTTTTTTTTTTTCTAATATACATATGCCAACTAGTTCTTACTGTAAAATTAAAAATGGTCATCAAATTACATCAATTGTCACAAGTTTTCTGTTTTTGAATGGAAGGAAACGTTTGTAGCAGGGAATGGAAAATCAACTCTAGTCTCTAGGTTAAGTCCTCCAAAGGTATTGAAGTATAGTCTCATAGACTTTACAGTTAAAAGTCATCTAAGATAGCCTTACTATTGGGCCTTTGTCATCTTAGGTGAGGGATCTTGAAACTGACTTATCAATTTTACCTTCAAAGAAAGGCATTACATTGTTTTCCAGTATATTTTATATAAAATCAATAAATGACTTGAAGTGAAATTGGAGTGCTGGGGTAGTCTGAACTACTCACCTGAGTGATATTGACAGCAGGAACTTTGATATAAGCCAAGCAATAATGAGCATTTACAATAGACTTAGTGCACTCACTGTAGGATCCTAACCAGCCAATGTTGCCAAGAAGAAGTCCACTTTGAGGTTTACCAATAGCATCCAGATCTGAAAATGATTAAAGACAAATAATTCTCATCCTCTTTGCTGCTCTATACCTGAGACAGTATATCCTTAGTTATAACAGCCATTATTTGCAAACCACTCATTATTTATTTAATGAGAACAGAAAGATGCTTAAGGATGGCAGTCTCACAACTTTTTCTGTTCCAAACTAAGTCATTTCCAGTCTCTGACTTCACGAACACGATAAATTTGGCCATTTTATAAGCAACCATCAAAGCCCTTTTTCAAGGTTTGCATATCACATGTCCCCTGTGTGCGAAAAATCTCTACCTTATTATAATTCTGCACAAAATCAAATGTCGTATGCATTGTTAAATTTGTGTTAAAAACCCTTGGTTTCGTAATTTGGTCAAGTAACTATCAATATGGTATTAAAAGAGAATATGGCTGTTAGGCATGCACAATACTACCCAGATACTGTAACAAACATGAAAAGGTGTTTAAGTATGATCTCACCACATTTCTTGAAAAATATCCAAAAAGATACCCTGTCTAAAGCTTTACAGTGTACATGTAAGTACTGAAACAATACCCTGTGTTCAAAACAGACAAACCTAAAAACTGCAGTAGCATCGCTATTAAACAAGTACTGTAAATCCTCAAATTAGTGCCTAGGGTGCTTATTTCAAAATTAGGAGGAGATGGGGGCGTTTACTCGAGTGCGGGGGTGCTTATTAAATTTTTTCCAAATCGTGGCCTGACATGATCATGTTTTAATACATCATCTGCGCATAAACAGCAACATAAGCTGTTTATCAACATAAAAAGCTGATCATAAAGTTTAAATCGCTGCAACATTAGTACTGGTAATTTTTTTCCAAACTTAACGTGTTCACAAGCTGAAAAAATGTGCAAATCTAACACTACATGACAAATACTATACATCCTTTGTTGTCTTATTACTCGTCCACAGGAGTGGGTGAGGGTAGGGGGCACTTAGTTTAAATTTTGGCTGATAGGAGGGGCACTTATTTGAAGGGGGTACTTATTCGAAGGGGGGGCACTAATTCGAGGATTTACGGTATCCATTTAATTTTGCATGGAAGTACAGTGCCAAAACATTGCTTTCATGATACTCAGAACATCATGAAGTACCCTTAAATTACCTCCCCCTGCAGCTTGCCAGTCCTCCCCTGTCAGGCCCCTTTGAAGAGGGACACAAGAATGCAATTGGCCTTATGTTACAAGTAAATTATATTCCAGAATTTGTTCACGAGTTGTATTGGGTATTAATCTACTTTCCGCTTACTGTGTACCACAAAATGAACTGCATAATTGTATGTTTCATTTTATGGGAGGGAGGGGTAATTCTGCTTCTTGCAAGGAGAAGGCAAAATCAAATCATAATTATCGATATGCTCAGCAGTATAACCTTGTTCTTAGCCTTCGTGTAGCCGTACCCACCCCCCGAGGAAAAACGGGGGGTGGGTACGGCTACACGTAGGCTACCTTGTTCTTTGTAAAATCTATTAGCGCTTTATATGCATGTAACCAGGTTTTTACAGGAGCAGTTTTTTCCAACAACTCGAGAATCGCATAAGCTAGCCTACGAACAGGCTCCCGGTGAGCCCGAACGCCCCCGATCGCTTCTCTCTCCGAATTCTTCTGTTTCGCGCTCGCCCAAATTTTTTTCCGTCCTGTTCGCAGACTACGCATATGCGAGTGGGAACCTTTGACTTATAAATTGTATTGATGCACGAAGAAGATGGCATGAGTCGAGAATGACCCCTATTAAAACACTAACAAACACAGATTAGTTAGCTCATCATGCACGTAAAAATATACTCACAAGGATAGGCAAGATTAGTTTTGCTCAGCTTCTCCACAGTTTCTTTGCACTGCTTGCCGACGTTCGCGAAAGAAATATTTCCAAGCTTTGGGAATGAAAAGCCAAAGTGCTGTGCGATCTGAGCGTAGTTTTTGGAAAGCAGTCCAGGAGATGGAGTTGAAGATGTTGTAATTGGACAAAACACCAAGAAAACTGCAAAGATTGCAAGTATGCGTCTAGAAGCGGCCATCCTTTGGCGAGGTACTGTGTTGGTACGAGATTTATTGACGTATCGATGACATCAGAGTCATCATACCAGTCGCCGGCGGAATGTTGTTGTTCTTATCACGTGAACATTGAATTGTGCAAAATTTAAACTGAAATTAACTTGTGACGCAGTTTTAAATGCTGGAACCGGATGAAAATGAAGAAACTGCTAACTTGGCAAATATTATAGTCTAAAAGAGGTCATCTTTGCTGGAGAGCACTGTCGATGACACCTTTCCAGTCTCCGATAATATATTGATCGACAATAGGAAGTCACGCAACGATTCTCGGCCTTGCCGAAGAATACTTTATAAAGAATGAGACTCCTTATATTTATATAGTGGGTTCTTTAAACTTCTTCTGGTATACACTCTTCTGCTTAACCTTTTCTCGTCCCGTCGCAAAATTTGTAGAAGAGTTCTGTCTTGATACAAAATATTGTCAAGGGGGTTCCTGTTGAAATTACCAATGACGTACAAGTCATTGCACAAACACATGAAATTCTATTCTAAGATAAACGGGGCGGCTTTGAAACATTCTCCTCTCGTGTTCAATTGGTGATTGGCTTTTTGCAGATGGAACCCGGCTAATACGGATACCAAAGGGATACGCTCTTTAAGTCCCAGGTGTCCTCAATTCCTCTTAGAAATGGGGAGCGATCTTTGAGATATCGGAGACACCCTTTCCTGGTAGTCGAGCCAAAGTGATTCAATCATTAAGTCCGAGAATGAGAATTTTATAAATATTTTTAATCACAGTAAAGTAATATTACATGGATGGAACTAAAATGAGGTATATCGACTATAAATTAGGAAGCAATCTAACTAATTTATGCTACAGGTATCAAGATGTTTCCAAAAGGGGAGCCTTGCTTAAACAATCAATGTTTCATTTTTACTTTTGAACATGACCAATTCAGGGGGGAGATCCCTCTGTAGAGAGAGCACAGAGAGGGGGCATTTATTGAAAGGCACACGTTTAAGTCTACACTTCAAAGATAGGAAGGATCTGTCGCTAGTTGCTTATAAATGCAGACCATCGTGTCGGGAGCACTGTAACAGCAAAAGGCAAATCATTTCAGGTCTGGATATCTTTGCCTCGAAAGAATTCAGGCGAGTCCAAGTGAAAAAAAAACGGGGTTCATGATTAATCCGAAAAGTGTTTAGTGCCAGATTCAACGGAATCTGGAAGCAAACCTTCCAGACCTTTCTTCATGCATTCATTGATTTTTGTAAAAGCAGTGACAAAAGGTATTTTTTTCTGCAAATCTCTTAGATTTCATCGATGTAGTTTGGAAAACGTTGTGTGTAAGGTGTTCCTTACATGTGGTACTCCTTACCAAGTGCTAATGTCTAGTCATGCATTCATAGATTTCTACTGAGGCTCTTCTGTTAAAATACTATGTTAGACGTTATTTTTACTCACAGTAAGGTGAACGTATCTAGGCCTGACCACACATGACTTTCTCAGGCCAGGCATTTCTTTACCTACGTATTCTACACTTAAAATGGCACTCTTTTTATAAAATATTGCTAGGAATAGCCAAGACACTTCTCCCATTCATCTACTGGAGTATAACGAAGAATAAAAGTTTCACAGGAAGTACTTATCTTACTGGACTAAACTAAAAGTTATGAATATGCGATAGCGAAGGGAGTTGAATCTGGAAAGAGCCTTGTATGACGTCACAATTCAACGGTCAGTTTTAAAAATAAGCTTCTGCAGTTGCATGATTGGAAATTCCACACACACAGACAAAATGAAGGCTGCTCCATATGACATGAAGACAAAGCTTACAAAACGAAAAGCCTGCAAAGATGGAAAGGCATTATAAAAGGTATAAGTTATGCATCTGACAGGTATAATAAACTAGGCAGGAAGAATATAAAAGCTATCGTTGTAATATGTGTAATGTCAATGAACGTAACCAAGTAATGATAAAATCTGCTTAAATAATGAACTAAAATGAAATAAAAGGCCTGATTCTGCCCGCCAGTTCTTGGATCCAAATGATGTCCTTAAACAAGTTACAACTTGTTTATTTGGTATGCGTGACGTTTCACAAACTCTTTGATAAATCTTCTTTTTTTAAAATATTCCTAGCGACTTTTACATGACTGTCTATGACAATCACAGAAATCGTGCCCTTATTTTGACCTATCAATTCCAGGGTATTACTGACTACTTACTAACCGAGAGTGAGGTCTTTACTGGAAAATTTCAAACCAACACCATGCCGTATTGACCGAGTGATAGCGAGGTCAATATGGCAAGGTCGAGGTTTGAGACGTTCCCGTAAAGTCCGAACGTTCAAGGTTAATAAGTCATTTATTAGATGGCTTTTTTTCTCAGTCTCTGCAGGCCCGTAATCGGGAGTAATGCTTTACAGTTAGCCAATCAGAGCACGCGTTAGATCGGGTTCAAACTCAAGCAATCTAATAATTTTCCCTATAATTGGTTCATGGCGTGATCTGCTTATGTTGTGATTCACCAGATATGATCTCTTAAGTAAAAAGAGTAACTGCAAAACCTGTTAAGTTAATACACTGTAAATCAAATCAACGAACAATAGTAAACCTTAAATCAGAGAAGTATTTATACATTCACATTGCAAACAGTCATGTCAACACATGACAGTCAAAGAAAGGCAAATGTTACTTACAAAATGAACATCAGAATAGGCCTGTGCGGTCTCAAATGATCCAAGAAGTACGATGATAACAATAGGATGAACAAGATAAGCACAGTATGTCAGCCGACTCAATGGAATCCAGAAACCAGCAGACAGGATCTTATTCACCAAACCTTCAAATAAAAAAAACAATGAAAAGTAATTATCTGTCGAGTTCTGTAGTTGGAATTTAAAGTATTGCCTGAAGTTCATTATGGTACCTTATTTTACTCTCCCAATTGCTTTG